AATGTAGGTTGGACCAGAAGTCAAATGCTTACAGTGTCTACCCATATCTGATAATAGCAAAACCTTAGAGAATGTGCCACTCACCTTCAGTTGGTTGTGATTTAACACCCCAACCACCCTAACCTCTTCTCCATTTCACTCCTCCTCATTGCCACGCCATCCCACGGAAGTATCCAACTCTAAAATGTCCAAACTCCAGCAGCATTTTGATTACAATGTCCAGAGTTGCCAGCTTACTCACTTGCATCTTTTACTTCTAAGTCATCTACCCTTTGACCTAGACCAAAGAACCTTGACCAACAGTTTATCATCCACCTTTTCTTCTTCTTCTTTTTTTTTTTTTTTGTCAGTCATGGAGCTTGAACTCTGGGCCTGAATGCAGTCCCTCAGTTCTTCAGCTCAAGGCTGGCTCTCTACCACTTTAGCCTCAGTGCCACTTCTGGTTTTCTGAGTGATTTAATGGAGATAAGAGTCTTATGGACTCTCCTGCCTGGGCTGGCTTTGAACCGAGATCCTCAGATCACAGCCCCCTGAGTAGCTAGGATTACATGTTTGAGCCACCAGCACCCGGCTTTCTTTTTGGTACTGGGGATGGAACCCAGGACATTGCACTTGTTAGGCAAGCACTTTGCCACTGAGCTACATCCATATCATATACCTTTTTTTGTGTTGTGGCTTGTGAGGCTTGAACTCAGGGCCTGCATGCTGTCCCTGAGTCTTTTTGTGCCCAAGGCTAGCACTCACCCACTTGAGCCACAACACCATTTCTGGTTTTTGAGTAGTTCATTGGAGATAAAAGTCTCATGGGGACTTTTCTGCCTGGACTGGCTTTGAACCATGATCCTCAGATCCCAGCCTCTTGAGTAGCTAGGATTATACGCGTGAGCCACCAGTGCTGGGCTTCAATACCTTTTTTTATTTTTTTGGTCGGTGGGGCTTGAACTCTGGGTCTGGGCACTCTCCCTAAGCTCTTCAGCTTAAGGCAAGCACTCTACCACTTGAGCCACAGTGCCACTTCTGGTTTTCTGGTGGTTAATTTTTCCTGCCCAGTCTGGCTTTGAACCGAGATCCTCAGATCTCAGCCTCCTGAGTAGCTAGGATTATAAGAATGAGCCACCAGTGCCTGGCTCATCAGTCCACTTTATGTGTTTACAAATCATAAGTCAGGACATACACAATAGTGACTTGTCTGCCCTTGTACCCAGCAATAGGATGCTACTGGACAAAACACAGATCTAGGGACTGGACTGGTACTTAGAACACACTCAGTGGCTTCCAGTCTGTTCCCTAACCATATTTGGTTGTAGCTGTTTCGAAACAAGGTCTATGTAGCTATGTTGCCTAGGGTGGCCTGGAACTTGTGACTCCTCCTGAGCGCTCCTCCTCAGGCTTTCCCTAAACCTTGATCCTCAGATTTCAGCCTCCTGAGTAGCTAGGATTATAGACAAGAGCCACCAGCGCTCCACTATGGCTGTGTGTGTGTGTGTGTGTGTGTGTGTAAGTATAAGTCCTGGGGCTTGAGCTTTTATACTCAAGGCTCATGCTCTTCCACTTGAGTCACAGCTCCACTTCTGGGTTTCTGATAATTAACCAGAGATACGTCTCTGGGACTTTTTCTGCCTAGGCTGGCTTTGAACTGTATCCTTATATCTTAGCATCCTGACTAAGTAGGATTACAGGCATGAGCCCTAGCCCCCAGCTCCAATCACCTTTCTATAATTTGTATTTTTTAGTTTTTTCCTCCACCCTGCTATCAGGGTTTGAGCTCAGGGCCTCAAGCTTGCTTGCTTGCTCAGTTGGTGCTCTATCACTTGAGCCATGCCTCTAGCCTGGCTTTGTGCTAGTTACCTTGGAGATGGACCTCAGGGACTTTTCTCTTGCTTCAGTTATCTTTCAGATAAAAATTGCTTCTACTCTCAGAACCTATGACCTAGGCGAGTTATTTTAATTTTTTTCCATCCTGTTCTCACTTATTTGTTTATACACATATTAGCATAGTTACAGGGGAATTTCATTGTGATATTTCCACGTATTTACAATGTGTTCCAATTCTTAAATTTTTTTGTAATTCTGAGTGGGGTTTGAACTCAAGGCCTTGTTCTTTCCAAGTAAGTACTACCACCTGAGCCACATTCCCAACCTGGATTTTGTTTTTTTTTTTTTTTGGGTCCAGTCATGGGGCCTGAACTCTGGGCTTGAGCACTGTCCCTAAGCTCTTCAGCTCAAGGCTAGTGCTCTACCACTTGAGCCACAGCGCCACT